AGTAAATGTATACTTTTACGTATCATTGCATAAGTCATCATTACATATCTGGTTTTGTTAAAAAAATAAAAAACAAATTATATGAAATAAAAATGTTACTAGTAATATACATTTAAAGTAAATATGTACCTGTTTGATGGTCCCGGCATCACACATCCTCTCTCTTCGTTTTTACACTTTTTTTTTAACAAATTGTTAACATATTCTACAATACGATTGACTTGAAAAGAAAGAACCACTTCGTCATTCCATTGCATCTCAGTTCGCATCCAATACACCACGCATGCTGAAAGAAAAAAATTAAAACCTATTGTATTACGAAGATATGTTAATTAAAAATTTTGTGTTACTATTAATGTAAATTAAAAACAAAAATAAGATAAAAAACCTCTCAATTTCGAGAATGAATCGGAAGAGCTCATTTTACTACAAATGAGACCGATTTGTTCCTGAGTTAGAGTTTTTCGTTTTCCACATTTTTCCATTTCTATACGGATTTCTTCAAAATCTTGTTTTTGAAGTATAGCAATAGCCATATATTGTGTAAACTGTTCCGCTGAAGTGCTAATATATACTGCATTTTTGTACATATTAAAAGGAACCCCAAAACGAGTTGAAAAATAACTTGAGAGTACCTGAAATATTTCACTCAAACCGTAGCGTATAAAAGATATTTATTTTTAAACGGAATTTTTGCAATATAAACATTTGTACTATTATAAAATCAAAAAGACATACCGATGAAACAGGAGATGCACTTGTTAAAACTGATTCAGGGTGGTCTTGTCTAGATGTTTCATTGTCGCTAGAGTCTGTCGAGAGAGAATAAACTTTCGTCAAATGCTCGCAAAACATTTCGTCGTTAAAACAGATTAAATACAAAATTTGTTAATTTTAAGACTGTTACAAAACATTGCTTTTCAAAACTATCGTTATAAGCAAATCTCGAGCAGATCTATTTAATGCATTAGATATAAAATTGTCATTTAAACTGTAGTAGAATTAACTGAATGCATATTTAAAAATAGATCTGCTCGGAATTGGATGCCAAATTGTTAAAAATGATAAAATATAAGTTTATTTACCAGATCTATTCACATACCACATATCGTGTCTCAGACTTACAATATACAAGCGATTTTTTCACAAAGCGGTTTTTGAAAACGCTATAAGCAATAAAATAATCGCTCGTGTATTCATCACTTATACATAAAAATGTTCTATTGTTTCTGACGATTTTGCAGAGCGATTATTTTAAAAGAAGCGATAGAACAGAAGCGATACTTACGTACACACAAGCAGTTATTATATCATAGCGGTTTTAACAATCACTCGGCAAAAAAATTGTTTGCGTAAATCAAATCTTAGATTAGATAAAATACATTATTTGTAATACATATTGTATAAAACATAAAAATTAATTATTTATAAAACATAAAAG